CAATTTTGAAAAATAACAAAGGGCAATAACTCAAAAACCATGCAAGGTAGAGTTATCATTCTTGTGCACTGCACTCCTCCTCAATGAGGTCTATCCACCTATGAAGTTTCAAGTTGATAACTCAAATACTTTTAGAGATATGCTCCGGACAAAAATGTCGGACGGAAGGACGGACGGAAGGACGGAAGGACGGAAGGTCGGACGGACGGAGACTATTTCTATATCCTCCGCCGAAATTTTTCGGCGGGGGATAAAAAGGCTAAATGTTGAGATATTCATAAAAGATGTACGTTAGTTGTACGATACATGTATTACGGAGAAAGTATAGACCAGTAATGGACTGTAATTCACGGATTATATGGAAACTAAACCGATTTTCCACTCAAATTAACGACCTCAACAAGGGGCAGAGAGCGTTATATCATAATCGCACAAAGGTACCCCAGCCGAATAGCAGATACAAATGCGGAATAGGGTTTCCCGTTTTTAAAACGTTTAACAACAATTTTTTTTGGACTAACTGGCTTCCCAAAAATTTAAATAAACGAAAAGTGTGTAAAAAAAGGTTGATTTAAATCTACTTCAAGCAAAAAAAATCTCATTTTTAGGTATTTTCAGTGATAAAATTGACCTTTCCTGAATATATAAAAAAAAAATCAAAAAACATAAATATGACATTACAACATGCAATATCATATAGAAATTTTACTGTAAATCAGACAGAATAGGCCAGATTTTTGTTTGAAACTTTATTTCTATTAAAAGTGAGGAAAGTAAAATATGAAAATTTAATTATTCAATCAAATTTTTCTTAACATTATTATCAATAAAATCTACATGAAAAATATAAAACAAATATGTAGAGAAAGCTTATAAATAGCTGATAAATAGTTTAATTGTGTTTATATTATAGTTAAGGATGTATAGCCATGTATGTTAATGCATACACATTGGGCTGTTTCCCTTCTCCCTATTTTTCGCGAGGAAGTCACTTCTCCCTAAAATTTCCCCCCAGGATGAGCCCTGCTTAATCATAATAATTTCCAATAAAAGAATACTTAAACTGCAAACACCTATTTCATCTGTTTGCTTATATACAAGTACGGCAAAAAAAACAGGCCTTTCTTATAAAGGGAAAAAATTCTGTAAGAAAATAATATTTCAACAACAAATCAGCCTGTTTCAGATACATGGCTCCATATGCTAGTGTGAGCTAAACATGACAAATCTTACCAACCTGTTGAATTTCTTGCTCCAGGTGGTCTTCATTATGAGAACTTGTAGACGAGACACTGCGAGCATCTTGACCTACAACAATATCACTGTCACCGGAATTCTCCCTTCTTCGACCTGAAATATATTTGTCTAAATAAATGCTAAAGTGATGTTACGCTCAATCTCATTTTTTCATTGTCAAGAACGAAATATGGTTGCACAACATGTATGTTTAAAAGTAGCAAGAAGCAAAATATCATCAATTTTCAGACTGGGTCTATTAAGTTCAGAGCAGGTTAGATGACACTTTGTGTAACCCAGTGTTTTTTTAACTTCTGGGGGAAGGAGGTCGGTGCCCTTTGGAGGGGGAAAATGCAATTTTATTTCTTCACAAATGAGGAGAAAAGAAAAAGAACCCAGTGCATATTTAAATATACCACTTACCACTGTAAGATTTACTGTTGTGTGACATTCTTTTCTTTCAGGTAGAAAAGGGGAGCAACTCTGGAAACACAAGTTTAATATACGGATCTAAAATATTGACAACTGAATTGGATGCCGAGAGTAGCTCCCCTTACCTACCCAGGAACCATTTGTAAACAACCTTGCTTAATAGCTGGTCTAACAGGCATAAAATAAAACATTTTTGGCAGTTAGTTGCAAAATATGATATTCATTGGAGGCAAATTCGGTCTGCCATATGGGGGAAAATATCGCATTTTAGGAGGGAAAAAAACATACTATTTTGAGGGGGAAATGGTAACATTAACAAGAAACGTATTATTACCATGGAAATCTTATTTGAAGAACAATTCCACCTTGCTGCTGTCCCCTACATGCTAAATTAAAAGTCTCAATTGGCTACATTTTCAGACCAACAACCAGACACTTTTTGAAAAAATTTCCATACAGATTTCACAATTCTAAAGCTTGATAAATAATAAAATACAAAACACAAACCTCTCCCTTTTGATGGTCTTCTGCGACGATTGCTTTCTTGTGGCTGATGTTGTCCTTGAACAGCCGAATGCTGTACAGGTTGCGTTGCTTGATAATTTTCCTGGGACGTCTGCATGTTGTGCTGGTTATTTACCTTTGCCTGCAGTCTAGGGGGCAGTTCTCGAGGTTCTCTATTGCCTATATTATCCACAGGAAACACTCGCCATTCTCCCCTTTCAACTTCTTCTACTTTGATTATATCTTTTAATGACTGTAAAAACTCGTACTGGTTTTGAAAGCCATAATGCCTATAATTGATACCAGTTCCATACATTCTAGAGAAAGCACTGTCTAAGTGTGTGACGGGTATACCATTCGGGAACGACCGGAACAAATCTTTAATCTGCCTCCTCACGTATGCTGGAACCATCGGTTGGGGAGGAGCCAAATTTGAAGCCGACCTTCTCGGATAACGATTGTTTCCCTGGTACATTCGTGGGGGACCACCACCCCCTCTATTGCGATACACAGCATACTTTTGCTTGTTTGATACTTTCTGTCTAGACACAAGCCTTTGTATATGTTTAGTTGTATCATCTGCATTAGCTGTAAGTGTCATTACCCCATTCTTGTATGATATTTGGACAGCATCATCTATATCTCTGAAAACAAGAACATATGTTATTAAACACAAATGCTCACAGCCCAGATTCTGGACAGTAAACTTTAAGGACCACCTGAGGTATGTTCGTTCTAAACATGAGACATCAATTGGTAAAAAAATAAATACAAAGTGTAAAAATTCCATTGTTTGCACAAGTGACCTTGACCTTGTGACACTCAACACTGGACCATGCAGGGATTCCACTAAGTTAAAAAATTTGGAAGTCAGACACTGCAAATCTCTGATATTGGAAGTCACATTATATAGGTTAAGAAGGAAAAGTATTAGATTTTGGAAGTCACAAGCCAAAATCAGGCAGTAAATGACTCCCAAACTTCCATTAGTGGAAGCCCTGACCATGCATGGTATATTCTTTCTTTTTTGGAAGGTTTGTACCATTTTGTTATGTATCATTCTGTATTTTGCTACAAAATAAATAGCACATTTTCTCATTTTAAGACTAAAATATTAATTTTAATTGACTTTGTATCATGAATTATGTCTGAAATAATCATGTGTATTGTTCTGTTTTCTTGAGGAACGGAAATGGTCCATTATGTATGTTCTAAATGTAAAAAACGGCGATTTTAACAAAAAAAAGTCTTAAATGATGATTTTGTTTAAATTTTTAGATCAAGGGGAAGTTTTCAGCTCAAGGGAAATTTTTTTTTCAGGTGGGGAAGTAGCCATTAAATGGCTACAGTTATATAGTAAAAACAACCCTGCTATAATAAGTCTCGGACTAGGATATAATTGTCGATGCTTAGCTTATCAACAATATATACATAGTTATTTGGGGACATGCTTCACTTTACTACATTGCGTACACAATGGATGAATACGAGTGTGTCAGTTTCCTGGCATGATTAGTGATGTTCTATATTACAGTGGGGGGGGGGGGCAGGAACTGACCCCCAAGCCTCTGTGATATTTGGGCAATAATCAGATAATACACCAATTGACAGTCTCTTTATGAACTATGTAAATAACCAAGGTATATTGAGTGAAAAAATACGAGTCGTTTCCCTTTTCTATGAGTAAAATCGATATCTCTTATGCTAAAACAATGCAAATTTAGCAGTTTATAAACCGCTTGTTTCAGACTTCCCGAAATACGTCGGTCCGACGGACATGTCCGATAAATTTTAATTAGGTCCGACGATTTTTTATTCCGGATCGGTTTGACTTTCCAGCTTTTGTCCAAGTCACATGTATACAAAATAATGTCGCTGAAAGTGCCAAACCTGGAAAAAACGAAAATCTACATCAGAGGAGCGTGCAGAACAACAGTATAAGGATGAAAAGAGTAGATCTGAGATAAAATTTAATGAAAAATGGAAGCAAAACCGTGAATCGTTGGTGTATGACAAGGAGATGAAAATGCCCTGTACAGACCGTGCCGATTTTTACAGCGTAAAAATTAAAACTGAAAAGTGTCTTAGAAAGACAAACACAAGTTTTCCTTTGATTTTGATTCATTTTATTTGGTCTGACATTTTGTTTAGGTCCGACAGATTTCATGGTTTGTCAGCTGGCCAGACAGATACGCAACCAGCTATTTTACTCGCAATTCTACTGATAAGAATAGCCTGTCGTCTGCTAGTTGGGAAATTGTCAATCAGTGTATTGCGCATTTCGTGCCACCCCAAAATATTTAGACTAGTTGCAGACAGATACCTCAAAAAATCTTCTATGGTAGCATAACCTATATCCCTGTAAGCTAATCTGACTCCAATAAAGTTGTAAAAGTCTCGCTCAAGCTCTCTGACAGTTAGAGCAGCTGGACATGATAATAGCAGTGCACGCACGTGCTTCTTGAATTCGTCTTTTTTCTGTGCAGCGTCCGACATTATCGGATGACAACTATTTCATTTGTAAAATTTAGTTTAATTATACTTTCAATTCACTATATTTTCGGTATTTAGCACTGAAACGTTATTCTATTCAACTTTATTTCCCGCCACAAGTCAAATCCTCTCTAGAAAAGCAAAACAAACAGTTTTTAACAAAAACACTCGTAGCTTCGTATATTTTTTTAATTTTTGTTGAATTGTCGACAAGAATGTCAGGTATTCCTAAATGTAGATAAATTAATATTTATTTATATGTCTTCACTTGATAACGTAAAGGTATGTGAATTTGGAAGACATTGAATAAATTTATGTTCGTACTTAACACTAACAGAAAAGTTGCTAGCTATTATTATTTTGTCATCAGTATTCGCGATAGTAAAAAAAAGTCAGGACTGCGAAATAAAACACTGTATGTGAGACATATACTGTTGATTGATGAAGAGAGATATATATGTTTATCTTTAAATTGATTTACTATTTTATTTGAGGCGGAAGATAACTTTCACGTGAGAGAAGATTCTTTAACGCGATTCGCACAAATACGTTTCGTAACAAAATAACTCGCCCAACTTTATAATAATGATAATATAGTGACAATTTGTTCTACTTTATATGTTACATTAATCCTATAACGATGATTTTGCTTTTTATATTTTTTTTTTCTTCTGACAAGAGCTACAAAGCAAATATTATAATGGTGCATAGTTTTTTTTTTCTTATTGTCACATGAATATATAGCTTTACTCTATCTATCTTCCTTTTCTGTCAAACCCATCGCAATGGCATGGACAGTCCACATGTTAAGGCAGCCACTCAAGAAAGTTGAAAAGTGAATTAAAATATGTATAAAAATGGTGTCACAGGGTACTGCGTCCTGCTATATTGAAATTCGTCCTCTGAATTCACAGAGTTACAGAGCAATGTAAATTAAACGCTGAGCTTTTTCAAGTCATGGCCCCATGGTTAGCGCTAAATGTCACGGTGAGAAACATTGGAAGCCTGACTGGGACTATAACCAGGGACCCTCAGAATACAGGGACCCTCAGAATACCCTTCTGTGGCTCTATACCGACTGAGCTATCAGGCCACTTACACATCTTCTCCCCTTATTAGTGAACAGTTCTGAACCATGACAATAGTATGAAAGTAGGTAAAGCCTCTGATCGTGGAAGTCGATTACCATTAATTTTTTAGTTTTGAATTATTGTATCATTTGGTATTTCAAGTGCCTCCACCCTTCTCATCTGTCAAGTACATGTATCTTACTAACAGGTGTGGAGCATCTTTCTCATAAAAATAATTTAAAATTTTCGTTTGAAAGCATTTCTTAATTGAAACAAGCAGTTTTATTTACAATTAAGGCTCAATAAAATAAAGATTGCAGACTCAAAAATGTTAACGTTGATCTTGGCAGACAAACAGCCTAACCACCTTACCTGGATTACTACATGTAGTACATTGTAATTACAAATTTCTTGGTGAGTGGCTGATAACCAATCCTACATGATACCTGAATCGGACTAGAGACCAAATTAATGACCATTAGTCTCAATGATGTCCAAGATCTATGTCAATCTCATGGAGAATTTTTTACCGTGTTAAATTGTTAATTTGCACTACACTCAGAAATACCTTGACCTTTAAGATCAAATTATTGAATTTTGCTTGAATATTTCTAGATTCGGCTATATCTTAAGTAAATGTCAGCTTTATAAATCCTATACCACATATTATTATTATTATTATTATTCTTATACACATTTGATTCAACTTTGAGAAAAAAAAGCTTATGACAGAACAAACATGTTGAATTATTCGAGTTTGTTGTAAACCTTAAAATGACTAACATCAAGGCCTTATGCAAAATTTAGATTAAATTTCTGAGAAAAAAAAATGATGATAATTCCTTCACCACAATGTTCTCCCTCTTATGTGTTTGTCTTTGAAAATAGGAATAAGTCAAGCATGATCCCCACTTGTGGTGCTATTGTTATAATATTTTAGAAATAATCTGTATGTTTTAATAAAAACTGTTTATCAGATTCAATAACTGTGTATTTCAGATTGACATCTTGAGAGAAACCATGGACTTTTTGGAAGTGACCTCCCGTAAAAGAAAAAGACGAATATCAGATAACAGAACACAGTTGCCTAGCAACATTCAGAATTTTATAAAGAGCCTCTTTGAAAAAAAGATCAGTTATGAGAAGAAGGAGGACTATGAATTAAGAGCTAGTTGTGACTGGAAGATGCGTGAGGAATGGAAGATTGAAGAGTATATGTTGATGAAAAATGAATTAAATACGTTAAAAAATGAACTCAATGACAAGGATATGATAACCTGGCATGAGCATACTCGACTTGTAAATCTTGCAGGAAATATTGCCCCTGGAATAAGGAACCAGCTACGGCCAGAGCTGTGTACACAAGCCTGGTGCAAGTTTTACGAGATAGCTTCGACATACGTGAACGTAGCCAACACAGAGTCGCTAGTTACTGTACATCTCTGTGAAGCACCGGGTGCCTTTGTAACTAGCCTGAATCACTTTCTGTTTACACATGGTAAGACAATTTTATAATAAGTGCACTATAATCTGATTAATGGTTAATTTATAGGAAGAAAACTTAACTACAATTCTTTGGATTTTTATGAGAAAATTTTACTATTCAGATGTTTAAGAAGGTGGAAGGGCATAGACATTGTGCCTTAAATTTTGTATGATAGGACACTACGGTTCTGCCTCCAGCAGCTTTGAAGTGACCATGGTAGTGTTTTGTGACATGAGATTAAACACAATTAAACATAATAATGAACCAAAAATCAATTTTTGTTAATTTTTTTTTGTACAATCTCACTTTTCACGGAGCTCTGTGAGATATTGCTTTGAAACATGGAACACTTTTTATGACCTTCCTAATCATTTCTAGACAAGAGTATATAAAATGTAATTTTTGATATTAAGCTGCTTTTTTAGATAACAAGATTTGACACTAATGTCTTGCTCTTTTTTCGCCTATCAAGAACTGAGAATAGTTGAGCAACTTGTCTTAGTGACAGATTTTGCTCGGTAATTTACCTGATACATGTATTTGGGGTTTCATCTTATTTACAAAACTATTAATATGCCTTATTAGAAATTATTCAGAATTGATAATTTTTCTGCCATAAACTAATACAGTACAATACTGCAGAGCAATCACCTCTGACCTCTTTATAGCAACAATTTATTCAGAATGGACATTTACAATAAATCTAATCTTTCTAAAGCACCACCTCTCAGCAGTGACCAAAATTTTTGTTTCCTGTAAGTAATTGCTCTGTAGAGGTTATACTGTGGGATTATTCTTATAATGTACATGTACTGAAAAGGGTCCCGCTTTAAATGAATTTTTTTATTTTATTATATAAGAATATGCTGGCGACTGGATGTGGTTAGCAACGACTTTGAATCCATATTACGAGGGCAACAATATAGGTCAGATGATTGACGAGGATGTATTCATACGCAGTAGCTATGGCAACTGGTATTTTGGAGAGGATAACACCGGAAATTTGATGTCTCCAGTAAATCTTAAAGGGTTACAGGAAAAGCTTGCCAATGTGAAAGTTGATTTGGTAATTAAATTTGTATATGAATTTCATATTTTCGATATTTGCTGATGTGATATTACTGCTTAAGTAGCTCATTTGTGTATAAAGTACACTAGGATGAGCTATAAAGATTATTGACTGGTCCCCTGTACACAATTTTGACAAATGGTGGTGATGGTATAAGCCTCAAACTTAGTCAAAATGTTTGTAATAATTAGTATAGTATATGTTAGTATAAGTCAGAATATTTGTTATCTAGACTCAATAACTATTAACTACATGTAGATCACATGTTCCAATCAAAGAAACATCTTTTATCAAGTCAACATGAAAAGTGGTTAAGAGTGTTTAATTTTCTATTTTGGGTCAAAAATTATGAGAAAGGAAACTCATCATGGAGTTTGAACACACTTTTGTTTGAGCTTGAGATGTAATTTCCATGTAGGCCACCATGTACTGTTAATAAAGAGTGGTGAATCTGGACTTTTTGTTGAAATAATTCTTGTGTTTAGGCTATTTTACAATAAAAATCTTCTGATCAAAAGGTCAAGGTAGCAGGATGCTGTTTCTTCCATTGATGAGTAAATTGTTTTCTGTTCTGCAGTTATCCGATTTTGAAATCTGGAATTTTATAATAAACTTGTTTGAAAAACTTTTTTTTTAATAATCTTGAAATGTTTTTTAAATAGATGTTACCAATGTCTCTTTAAGATATTTTAGTGTTTATAAACAATATAATCAAATTTCTGTTCTTCTCTGTAATTACATTATTGCCAACTAGTACATTGTACCTGCATATTACAGTATTTCAGCATTCTTTCTGTTGTTAGGTAACAGCCGACGGCAGTATAGATTGTCAAGGTGATCCAGCAGAACAAGAGAATGTGGTATCTCGTCTGCAGCATTGTGAAGTCCTGACAGCTCTACATATTCTCTCACCAGGGGGCACTCTTGTTGTGAAAATGTTCACCTTGTTTGAGTGCAAGGCCATAAGCTTGATGTACTTACTTAACTGTGTATTTGAAAAGGTAATTTGTTAATTACAGTATCATTATTAGAACACTACTGGAAATGTAACATATAAGTACATTGGATTGTTGATGTCTTTTCACTAGTGACCGAGACAATACAGGTCAAGACAAAATTAAGTGAATCTGGCTAATTATTACATTTTTTTCCTGTTGCTTGTGACAACTGCTCTCTTAACAAGACAAATATTGGAATACTGAAAAATAGTTCAATATGACTTGAAAATATCAAGGGGATTGGTGGCCTAGTGATTAAGGTGTCTGTCTCTCAATCCAGAGATCATGGGTCCGATCCCTAATCGCGTTTTGACCCTGTTTCTTCATTTGACACCAGTACTGGTTGGTTCCAGGAAGCAGACCCGAAAAGTATTGCAAAAACTTGTTAGTGTTGAGAGATCTTGTTTTGCAATCAAGCTTAAATAAATATGTTTAAACCAAAATATCATTAAAAATAGCAATTTGAATCTTTTATAAACATACAAAATACATACATGTAGAGTTAATGACAAACATTTTCTTTTTTAACTCTTTAAAGAAAATTTAGATTATTTTTAAGAATGATGGTAAATAATTGGTTTCTTTATCCCCAGGTAGAAGTTTTTAAGCCTTGTACAAGTAAAGGAGGTAACTCTGAAGTATATGTGATAGGTCAGGTGTTCAAAGGAAGGCAATGCTGTGAAAGTTTCCTACAAAATGTGACACCAGAATACTTCGGTAATAAGAAATGTAAATTATTTCTTGAATTTGAAACCTCTTAGTGTCGAAAATACATGTTTTAGTTAATTTATTCTTAAATAGTAATATGTATAATATAATATGCACTACACACGCATGTCTAAGGTTGGAATGATTAGAGTAATATTAATAAATTACCATTTGCTACCGCCTCCCTACCCCCAACCCCATCTCTGTAATGGTATTGTAGAGCCCTGTCTTCCAATGACATATTTATCACTGCAAGTTTTATTCTCATCTTATTTTTATGCATTTATATTTTTCAACAAGTTTTAAGAAAGTTCATTGATATTACCTAGAAAATTATCATAATGGCCTTGTATTTCTTTAGACACAACAATAAAAATGAAAAATTAAAAGAGGGGAACTTTGAGGTTGTTTTGTATCATAAGAGCTTGACAGTAACTATTAAACATTGATAGAAGTGATGGCATGGCCAAGTGGTTAGCCACTTCGGTTCAAACCCGGTCAGGGACAAGCTATTGCTTCCTTGAGCAAAACACTTTACACTCATTGCTTAGTACTGGTTGGTTTTAGACACAGATTTGAGACTGTATCTATAAGCTTATAGATTCCTACACAAGCAAACTAATTGTGGTAATGGACTTGGATCAATTTTTTTTATTTCAGGTGATAATGAACCTGCGGGTTGTTTATTTTCCCAAGATGAAATACCTTCGTCATTTCTAGACCAACATTCACACTGTGTACAGTTCTTCAAAGACTGTCAGATGTCTACAATACAACGTAACCTTGACCTTCTCAATGTCATGACAGATGATGAAAGGTCAAAGGTCGAGGAGCAGAAAGATTTCTGTATGGAATGCTTTTTCAATAAATATGATATAAAGCCAATGCAGCATGGTGCTAGGTTAATGAAATTACCACCTAAGGTAAATATGATTTTATTTTCGTATTATTAAAACTATTTGATATCTCCAATGCTCATTAAATTTTGACATTTTCTTCTTGTCACTTGTCTTCAGACTAATGCTAATTTTAATTAAAATGCATATAGAAGTAAAATATTGTAAAGTGAACACAGAAAGTAATTTCAAAAAGTCATGTAAAAATTACTTCCAGTACTGTCATATAGAAATGACTTCCAGTACTGTCATGTAAAAATTACTTCCAGTACTGTCATATAGAAATGACTTCCAGTACTGTCATGTAGAAATTACTTCCAGCACTGTCATGTAAAAATGACTTCCTGTCCTGTAGAGAATTTTGAAATTAGTTCTAGTACTGTCATGTGAATATAATTTCCAGTCCTGTTGTATAAATTACTTCCAGTCCTTTAATGTAAAAATTACTTCCAGCCCTGTCATGTAAAAATTACTTCATGTCATGTAAACAACCTCAGTGGAGTCCATTCAAAGTAACTTTTTTATGTTATTTTGTTGTAATAGAGAAGAAAGCAGGCTCCCAGCTGGACTACAGAATTTTCAGCAAAAGTCAAATTGGAGGGAAAGTTTACAGGTAGTTTTTGTGAGAGACAAGAATTATCTACATTACCATGGCAACAGAAGATCTGTAAAATAGAGACTTATGAAGATGAAGTTAACAGGCCAGATAACTCACTGTGGATTCAGGTACCTGGAGATATACTTGAATTTATTTTTTAACAACAGTGACATAGCAATCATAGTAACTCAACTTTTTCTTTCGAAACAGAAGAGCTAGAAATAAAAACTGCTTAAAACAAAAGCCCATTTACTTGAGACAAAATTTTTAATAATGAATATTGACAATAACTCTAAGTTTAAAAGGGGCATAACACAAAAAATCAATGTAAAAATGAAACAAACAAGCTACATTAACATAATATTTCCCCTTATTGACATGTAAATGTTGTTGTTGTGGTCGTGCAGATAATTAAATGTAGCCCATTTTGCATACATTTTAAAAATTTGCTTATCATGAAAAGGTGCAGTAGTTAAGCAGTTCTTGAAGCTATATTTTTGGAGTTATGCCCCTTATTAATTAGAAGTTTTGTCAAAATTGGTTATTGATAGTTGATGCCCATAACAGACATGTGTTCTTGTAAGCTTATTGTGATAAATTTGGGACTAACCTACTCATCCTGGTATAACAAAAAGTTAAAGCATGTCTTGAAAACCTCTGAGGACTTGACACATATTTTCTCCATCATAGTTTGAAATTACTTTTTAATACCCATAGCCCTTGTGAACTTAGACAATTTCTGGATAGCTGTTGTTTTACTATCAAACACTAAGAATAAGTGACAGTAAGTGTGTTAGTCCTTGTTTTGATCTTGACCCTTTCAGTTCAATTTTTCAAAAATCATGCTTTTTTTATGCGAGTGCACAAAGTTTTTGGACAACCCTCGTACATATATTATAAAAGATTTTTAGCTTGCCTATTTTAAGAATTAGGAGAGCTGTTATACTCACTAAGGCGTTGGTGTTACATTTTTGGTTAGTTTTTGCATGCAAGTTAATATCTCCAAAACTACTGAAAGGAATATGTTGAAACTTTACTCACTTATTTATTAGCAAGTTAGGCTCATATTTTACTATCAAGCACTGAGAATAGTCGAGCACACCGTCCTGCCAACAGCTGTTGTACAAATCTTGTAATAATGCAGACTTGTAAATTAATCCTCCATAATTTAATTTATTCATGTTTTACAGTGTCAACATAATATGATGTCAGAGAAAGACTTGGATACATATCAGATATTGAAGGGTAAACATGTTGACAGTATACAGAGTTCCAGATTTTGTCATGGATTTTACCTACATAGAACAGATGAAATTGTCAAAAATTCAAAGGTTGGTAGGATTTGATTGATATCACTTATAACTGTGTTATTTTTGGGAAATCTTTCTTCTTTTTTTTTTGGCTGAAGAAAAAGAAATTAATTGAACGAGTTACCGAATTGTATAGGTAATAGTTGAAGAAATTACAATATCATATGGATATTTTATGTAGATAATTTGATTGGCCACTAAACTGACACATTTTTTAAAAAAGTACATGATAGTCTACTTTTCCTTTTTTAAACTCCATATATATTTTCTTCTTTTATTCTTCAGAATTTTATAGGTCATTGTATTCTCTCATTTGATAATGTGCACAAGTTTTTATATGACCTTTATTTGAAGATATCAGAAGACCAGGGTTTGAGTTATAAAGAAGTTTACTGAGCTCAAACTCAGATCTGAGATATTTGATTGGTCAGAAATTGACGCTGAATGTTCAAAGACCAATGAAAATCCTGAAAATCGAGACTGATCTCACGAAAAAAAAAATTATAACTAAAATACCTAGCTTGCTTGAAATTATTATTTTATTTATTTTGCTAATAGCTTATATATCTTTTAGTGGCTGGCAGAACAGACTGTAGCAGATACAGACTTTTTGATAAAAGTAGCATCAAAGTTGAGAGAGATATTGTCAGACACTATACAGTATTACAATGATAAACCCCTACAACAGCTACAGTCTAATCCTGATGATATGGTTACAGTTAAACCATCACAGCATGGTTGTGATAGTGGTAATGAAGTAGCTGGTAAATCTGTAAATCGTTGTGACAGTGTAACTGATACTGATGGCAAAGCCGCAGCTACTGATAATGAAGTTTTAGGTACTAGTACTCCAGTTATTGTTGATGATGAAGTTGGGGCTGGCGTTGATACAGGACAGATGGGTGAAGTTAATGACGACAGTAAAGAGAAAATAGTTTGTAATGACTGTATAAACAATGATGGTGATAAAGTAGTTTCAAGTGCTCAAAATCGGGTACAGAAATGCTCAGCCAGTAACAATACAGGGGAGATTGGAGAGGTGGAAAATGTACGAAGTGAAGAAATGAAACTGGACACTTGTAGTAATGGTTATAATGGCATAAATGATGGGAGAACAATTGATTCCTCCAGTACATGCGATACAAACTCTGTGGAAACAAAAACGGACAATGTTATGTCGATCGGAGGAGATGCTCCAAGATTTACATGTACCTGTGTCAAAGGTGGTTCACCTGTATTAGAAGAACTTTCCAAGCAGGTATTTATATCCTAAACTTTGATAGTTGGGCAATTGTTTACATGATTTTGAATGTTGTACTATTTCAGGAAGAGACTAAATTTTTATATCTAGTCTTCCTGTATTTTTTGTTTGCACTTTTGTTAACACAGGAATACATGTATTGTTAACAATCAAAAAACTACAATGGAAATGTTTTTAACCCTTAACAAGATAAATATCTTAATGGACTTTTCCATCTTTCAATCTGGACTTTTCCCCCTTTCAATGAAAACCAAAAAAATCAACATTCGGATGGAAAATTAAAAAAAAAAATACTATGGTACTGGCTGAATAGCTAGCAGTGCAAGCCATGACGAGGCAGCACACACCTGCATTGGTAGTCAAGATTCTTACTGCCCACAGGATAAGGTTTAAAAATTGCTAAATCTGATAATTGTTCTTACAAGGTTTTGTGCACTATGTTCTACAGATCCCCTTCCATTTTTGATATAAAAAAACAAAGAACATATATTGGTTGTATTGTACAGGGTTGCAGTAGTGGAATAACTGTGAGACTGTATGCACTTGGTTCTAGGAAGGTCTGTGACAGGTTTGAACTTGTAGATGACAAAGATTTATTGGCTGTCGTACTTGATATAATTAAGGTTAGTAGTTACAAATTTGTTTTCACAGGAACAATATTGTACACTAAGTAGTGTTTATATACTAGTCTTTGACCACATCAAAATCTTGTTAGCAACTCAACCTTGAATTGTCAGTGACTCATCTACAAACATTGAACAGTATTAGACCTGCTTAACCCTGTAAAGGCTATGTGAGGTAAAAACTGGCCACTTATATGTTTATTTCATGCAAATGTTAAATAAAACCATGCCTTTTTAGCCATTTGTAAATGTCCTTCTTTACCTGTAAACATTTTAAAAGTTTGAATTGATCTGGGCCAATGATGAATAATAATAAACCTAACAGCATTGCCACATGTCTGCCTAAAGAACGGTTTTTAGCTTGTCTATTCAAAGAATATTGGGAGCTATTGTACGCACACTGGTGTCAGTGTCAGAAACTTAATTTGGTTAAGTTTTTTTTTGTCATGCAAGTTAGTATCTGCAAAATTACTGAAGAGAATTATATTAAAGTTCACACACATATTTGAAAGCATAATAGAAGGTGAATGTCAAAGGCCCATAACTCTTAACATGGATTTTGACGGCATTATGGTCTTTTTTGAACTTACAAAAATTTTACATTTATCCAGGCTCTTGTTTTACTATCAAGCACTTAGAATAGTAGAGCATGCTGTCCTACCTACAGCCCATGTACACAGTTAAACCTAAATATGAAAATATATATTTCAGACATGTAATACCTCAGACTATGTTATAATAGAGATGGGAACGTGTTTGAGCAGGTTTACTGCCGGACTTGTCTATATTCTTTATAGAACCTTCAGAGAGGTAGGAAGTTAATGCTATTTCATATGCTATTACTACTAGCTTTTTTTTACTCAGAATAATAGGTATCTCATAAGGTTCAGTATACAGTTATTTCATAGGTGATTTGGGGAACAGTCAAACTGTTGGCCCGAGGTGGAGGGGGTAGTGTTTTGAACTGTTGCCCAAGGCCGTACCCGGTCAGCAGTTCCAAACACTATCCTCGACACCGAGGGACAACTGTTTGACTGTTCCCAAATCACGCATGAAATAACTGTTTTATTACCTGATCAACTACTGTTTTAATAGTACTAGCAGAAGAAAAAAGGAAGAAAAAATAGTTTTGCACATACGTTAATAATTAAACTTAATACTTTAAAGTTCTATGTCACAACACAGTTTATGATCAAAATCGATGGATGCTTCAAGTGGGAATCCTCAGATCACGCGAGGGAAACAGTTGAAACTATTGACCAGTCAACAGTTCGCGAATGTTGATGTTTTTAGAATTTCAGAAAAGCAGTAAAAAATACCAAATGACATTTATAGTAGATATCAGGTAATAATAAAGATTACTTCACGATATATATTGTGGTGACATAAAGAATGCCTCTGTTTAAAACATTTACACTTTAATATTTGAATTAGCTTAAGGTTCCTAACAGGACAGGCAGCTGAAAAGAATACCGTAGGGAAAGCCCAGCTATTATTGTGTCAGGAATCTGGCATGCTCGTATTAATTCATGCACCATGCGATGGAGTAAAGTAAAGCATATGTTGATAAAACTATACATAATCTTAGTATCAACATATAAAAAACTAATTTTGAACATAAACTTCCTTACAATTTCTAATAGGTAAAACACTTCAGCACTTTGCTGCCATCTTGCAGAAATATTTGATCTTGTGATTATGAGATTGATCCTTGCACTAAATTTGCACTGAGAGTTAAGAAAACAATTTTGAAAGCCAGAACTAATCTTTAATTTGTTATGCAAGAAATTCTGTGACACAATGTTGAAATGTTCTTATTTTAAAATATCATTCACATAATGATATTTGCATTCTTTTTCTGGTCCACCAGCTTAAGTTCAATAGAGAGAGCATCAGATTTGTAATCAAGGGATTCAATCTTTTTGCAATGCAAAATTTATGAAATATTGTGTAAGTGCATTGACATGATGATATCTGCATTTGTATTTCGGTCTATCTGATTTGTAATTCTGGGATCACTGCTTCAGTCCTTGTGTGAGGTGAAATTTCTCTGTGACATTTTAACTCAGACTTAAAGCGTTATTGGCATATGACCGCTGATCTAGAATCATGTTGGATTAGTAGTTGGCCACTTGCTGTGAGATTGATAGTTATTGGTTTGTTATACAGGAAAGCCGCCTAGGTGGAAAGACCACTGAGATATGACCAAAAATGTGTTAAACAAGGCCAAAAAAACCACCCTCAAACATACAAATTAACATCTGTTATCTGAAAAAGATCTACAATACATTCCCTGTGGCTTGCCCCTCCAATTAGAATTACTTTTATTTCAATCATGTACATGTACTTGCAATGTAATTTAAAAGATTAATTTGCAGCATGTTTTTGTTTATAGATTGGGTTTGTACATCACCATGGAAACCTGTTGAAGCGCCACCTGTTGTGTATCAATTTTCAGCATTGTCCAATGAAATTGTGTCAGTATTTAGAAGAGGTGTGTCATATGATAGATTCTGACCAATCAGAATCAGTGTTAGAAATAGTTCCTGTTCTCACAATACTAGAAGGTAAATCTTTTGATATTATTTCTACTTTAAGTCATACATTTAGCTCTTTAAAAATTTCTCAGTGATATAAATTTAGCAGAACACAGTGATCAAAAATGATAAAACATTTCAAATATTGGGTAAATTTTAGAATATGAAGGTTACTTTCAATAACCATGATCTCCTAATGTACACATGATTGGAAAAAACACTCATTAATTTGAGATTTTCTATTTCCAAAGAAATGTTTTACTATATAATTACAGAGTGGGATTTTCTTGTTTTAGTCACTTTAAATGTCTTGACTATTTTATTACCTACCTACATGTAGTCCATAACAACTGCATGCTTAGGTATTCATTAACAGTGAAGAAATCATATATTTATAGATAAATTCACTTGAACACATGCCATTGTTGTAACTTTTTTTGATATGGTCAGGACACCATGTAAAATTATTTTACTATAATGACGGCCTGTGTAGTTTTGTTGTCAAAACAGAACTGTCAAATGACACCATACTAGGACATGAATTTTAGATAAAACCAGTATTTTAAAGGGAAATCAAAATTATGAATACTGGAATTACAGAATCAGGCATATACTTCTATGCAAGAGTAGCTCTAATGCACATTTGCATGAATAGTGCTAATGCACTTTTGCATGAATAATGCTAATTCACCTTTGTTTGGATGGAGCTAACACACCTTTATTACTGCAGAAGCTCTCGGGTGAAAAAAAGGTGCATTAACCCCTCTATTCTAAACATTTATTATTGTTAATATATTTATTTCAGATGATGACTTTACATCGTTTCTACGAATTTCCAACGTGAATCTCCTGCAGTCTTTCATAACAACTGTCGTCAAGGCAGAGAAAAAAGAACATTCTCTATAAATGAACACTTGATTTTTAACTAAAGTCTCAAAAATACAGATACACTTTTGGTTAAAGACCACATGGAAAAATGGCCAAGTGTAGAACATTTCTTACTTCAGGTGTCAGTTTTACTTCCCAGCTAGCTTACGGAAAGAAGATGGTTGCGGTTGCACTTAGCAACCCACAGAGGACTTATTTTAAGCTTGGCTATTTGAAGAATAGAGAGAGCTATTGTGCTAACCCAGGCATCTGCATCATATTTTGTTAATTTTTGTGTGCAAGTTGGTATTGCCAAAACAATGGAATTCTATCGGTTGAAACTTTACAGATTTATTTGGGAGCATGACTGGAGGTCTCTATTGAAGACACATAACTCTAACATGGATTTGACAGAATCATTGCCCTTTTTTAACATAGAAAATTTTAAGAAAGAGTATAGTTTGGTGTGTTAAGGTACATCATATTTTGTTGTTAAGTTACATTGTGGCCTATTTTTAGTATGATTTTTTTAACCTTCAAAATTTTTAGATTGCTAATGTAATTGTATGATATTACAAATTAATTAGATTTTTAGTTTGTTTTGTGTGTATGATAATTTGCATTATTTTGAGTTCAATGCTTTTTTAACTGTACATGTATTTTAATCTGCACTGAGCCTCAAATACAAATTAAAATCATAATTGTTCAAAACCACCATATGACATAAAATGTATTTGTTTGAAGTGAAATAGATTTTATGAACTGTTCTTTCTCCTTATAAACCATTTGATTCAGAAATAAGTGGACTAATGGCATAAGGAACATAATGCTGGTAAACAGCGAATATTGTTAACATGTAAAACAACTAATAATGGGCAAAGTGTTTAGAAAAGTATAAGAATGTTGTTGTTCAAGTGTAATTTGTTAATAATTATTTTGTTGAGCCTGTTCACTTAGCAGAAAGTAGGAATTTCTTTTCCCCCACATGCCATTTAGCTTATAGCTTGTGGCCTGTTCAGTGTTGTTTGTTTGTTTTTCTAGAAAGTTTTTAAGACATAATTATACTAACTTCTTTTACTGAGACTGATACTTGACATAGAAAGTTTTGTTTAATTCAGGGCCATTTGTTTTAAGTCTAAGGTTAAATGATCATCGATACATCAATGATACCTGACATTGTTATGACAAGAAACGGAAAGAAATAAATGAAAACAAAACATTTGTATTGTTGGTTTTATTTTAATATTTAATTATCTTCATTTTTATAACATTTTTAGATGGAACAAAATAAATCTGTAAGAACATAGAAATTATTTAGAATGTAGCAATATACAATAAAACAAATTTCATTATTCCAGCAATGTATGTTTGGATTTCTTTTATACTGGACCAATATGTTAAGTGGAAATGGTCCAGTACACACAAGATGTTAACATTCACCTTTATTTACTCACTTGTTAGACAGAACACTTGTAAGATGTCATCTAAATTTTTTATCTAATATTGGCAGTGTTTTATTTTGACTTGTAATAAATTGTGATGCTCCACTTATAAGTCGAGGTGTATAATATGACTAACTAAATTGTAATGAAGAAATCAGTCTTGTAAGTGAGTAAATACAGAATATTTCCTTCAATTTTAAATTTGTTCTTTAAAAAGTACTGAAATAAACATACTGATCGATAAATTTACAATAGAATGTAGATCGATGGTCAAGGTATAGTAACATAGTACATGTATAGTAATGTTTTACAAAAATTGATGATCTAGATACATGTATTATGTTTTACAAAAATTACAACATCATTTTATAATGTCATAAGATGGCCTCTTTTTAATGTGACACACAATCACACAAAATTATGTATATATATAAAAAAAAAAACATAACGTAAAAATAATAATTTATCAAAGCTATGTACAGAATGTATAAAAAATCAGGAATGGGGACAATACAATAAACAGGATGGACTCGGTCAAGAGCGATTTTAAATTTACATATGGTATAAAATGTACATGGAAAACGTACATGGAAAATATTTATACGGTCATTTTACTAAGCTTATGTTGCTGAGAATTGCTTATGCAGGAGTTAATTTGTACAAAAAAGATGATTTACATATTGAAATATTGGTATACTATGCAGTATAACATGACTCAAGTTACATAAGTGACAAATCTCAGTTTTTTGTCTGAAAAAAACATATCTGTCAAACTTGGGTTAAAAGGCCCAAAATCTAGTTTTCAAGTTTGAAAATCTCATTATTTGCCAATTTTGTCTTTTTAGATATGCTGTGTGCACATTGAAATATATACGGAATATTATGTTGTAGTAGCTTTTTGAGGCTTTGTATTTTGCTACGAGCAGCGATGGAAAATTAATATCTTGCGAGACCAAATGTCGAGTGAGATATCAATTTTCCAACGATGCGAGTAGAAAAATACATAGTCTCAGAAAGCTACTACAACATAATTTTCCTTTTATTATATACCTTTTCGTTTTATTCAGAAAATGAAATGTAGTTGTCAAGAAATAAATTCATGACTGACGGATGAATACGTAATTCTTACAAACTGGCCACGCCTTTAATAATTTTGGTTCCCGTTTCCAAATGCAACGTTATACAAAGCTAAGATCGGAACCAACGTCAAAAATAGTCCGGCACTTCCATATATGGTACCGTATTTGTTTCTAACATAATACGAAAATTTCTATCCGTTGAAACGTATTTGCGCTTCAATATTTGCGTGTATTTTAGGGAGAAAATGTATAGGTATATAATAAACATATGTATAAAGAGTATATTGCCAGTGGACTGGCCATTGTTTTCAAAAGAGTATATTTTGTATAAATTTGTGCTTTATATAAATTGACAAGTAGTAACAGGAAAAATTTAGATTAAGTGGAAATTGTTTCACATGAAAATGATATTCACAAAGGTATAAATAGTATTTTTCTATAAATAAAATAATAAAAAAATAAATAAAATATAGTTGATACACTAAGTCTTGAACATCTGCATGAAAAAAATATTCTTTAACACCATTTTACAAATGACATTAACAATGTCAATTACATGTAGGTTGAAAACAAAAAAGTGATTTTCCCTTGAAATGTCTAAGATGAATATGAATAGGTACCTATTGCAATTTTCAGAAGTTTTTATTTATTTTTAGAGCCATAGAATTGAATATCCTTAAGAAATTAATACGTCAACCTAAAAAATAATAAATGATGTAAGAGGTCGGCGGGCAATTTTGTGATTCAATCATTAGCATAGGCAAGGCAGGCTTGTAATAACACAAACAATTGGAGGCATAGTAGGTAATGAATTAACAGTCATTTTGAAAGCTTTTTAGACATGAGAGAAAAGTTTGTAGTTTTCATGAGAAAAAAAGTGATTTTTGATAGTCAAATGACATGAAAATGTTGACTTTGTGTACACAGGTACCGATAAAAATCAAATATGCAATGAAGTAAGTGTCTCTCTTTGTGTTTGAAAATGAAACTGTGCCACTTTTGTCCTATTCCCAGATTTTAATTGGTAGAAAAATTGTGCATTTTCAAAATAGATCAATGTTGTCAGCAATATGGAACCAGTATAGCATCATGGTATATAATATATAGTTCCTGGCTTTATAGGACTGTAAAGTACGCAAAGCAAGGGGTTCGACAAATTTCTCTCATTACAAAAAATGTCTGAAATATGAGTTCTTTACCATACTTTTGATTTGAAAATATTATTTGGGTTCAATTGAGGTTAAGAAGCCTTGTTTTTGTTTACAGTATATGAGAATGGGAAATTTAAATGCACATTCATGATGAGAGGAACAATGTATATAATTATGGCAGCTTATACATGTAAATGCAGCTAAATAAAATAAATTTGCAGTATTGTTTTTCTAATTCTCATTATTCACCACACAGTTTCACTACATCCATCATCTCCCCTGTTTTGTCTTGATCAGCAAATTAAAAAAACTTTTGCAAGTAAATGCCCAGGTAATAGTTTTGACTAAACTATGTAAAAATGCCCACAAAATAAGTTAAACTTTACACTGAGTTCTGAATTATTTAAACAAAGAAATTATGATATATTGGTTCCTATATTTAAATTCATGATGTTATGTTTCTTTCATAAGGAGTGAAAAAATTGCTCATATTTTGACAAGAAATAGGAAAAAACGACTCCTTTGAATAAAAAACAAACAAAATGAACCAAGAAACTGTAATTTCTTAAGAAGATTCTGCATTTTAAACTATGCGGCATTAAATTTATGTTACCAATCTGTAAGTACCGCTCTTTGTAACAACACTATTTGTTCCATAAACATGTACCGAAATTGATTTTATTTAGCTGTAAATGGACGATGTAAGTTCACAATGTTATAACGGGACATCTCCGTCGTCAAGGTCAATGGATTTCACATAATGCTCAAGCTGTTTCTCCTTTGATCTTTTGAGATGTAGTTTCTTAATGTCTTTTAACATGATTGGCTTTTTCTTCATTGAACTAAATCGCTCGACGCGTTTGATGCACTTTTTGATGTTCTCGATTATCATGTCTTTACACAGCAGCGTATTAAACTCCATTAAGTCAGCAAGCCGATTAAATGCTAGTTTTTCGTATTTGAAGTTAAATGTTGAATATGGCCGATTCGGGTCGTCAAAAATTTCAAAGTCTGCATAATCTTTTTCTTCTTTTGTTCTCCTTCTACGTCCTGTAACAAAAATAAGAATTACAATGTCACAGCCAGAAAAAAGCCTGGTTAGACTATTCAGATGCCCAGGCTTGCCTGGCTCTATACAGGTGGGAAAGGCTAATCACTTTCTGTTTCAGCAGGGTAAAATTACTGCAGACTTATAGAAGAGTCAAGGCAAAATACCACCTTAATATAATACACCCCTAGACTTATAGATGAGGCTGACTTATGGCCGCATATATATGGTAAAAGTAAAAAGTCAAGCTCATCTAGTCATTGTATTCAATGAATTTTTTTACCATATATAACAGAGCCTTACAAAAGGCCTCTTTTCCAGTCAAAATTATCTTCTAAATCAAGCATTTTTCCCTAAAATCTAAACTTGCACCAGCTTTTTTCCTCCTCATATTCACAATTTTAGCAATAATTTTTTTCCCAAAATCAAAAAGCTAAGGACTCTTCCCAATTCAATGACAAAAACCACAATTGTTAAAGAAATTGTTGCTAAAAATCTATTTCACATACCTGGGGATTTGAACTCTCTAAAGGTGGTATTTAACAGAACAAAATGCATCACAATAGGGCAATTTGGCTCCTTTGGATTTTCGAACACATAACATTCCTTGAGCCCCTCTCGATCTACAACTGTTGGGTCAATGTCTGGGAAAGGTACATCATTTAACCTTGCCCATTTCATGGCCAACATCAGCTCCTATAAAATATATCAATAACTTGTTAGCATTATTTGAATTCAGATATATATTTTTTATCAAGAATTTAAATGCATATTCAAAATTTGATATACATGTATATTACTTTTCACTGAGATTTAATGTTATTTAAATGTTGTTTGGTTATATTGTTACAATAGCTGTAAACTAAAAAGAGCACCGCTTAGAGGAGGGGCAATACACGCCCATATGAACTTTTTTTTGAGAAATCAAAACTTAACTTTTGATAGCAAACAACTAAAAATGTTTAATCTTAATAATATTATTCTGATAATACTAAATGACCCCCAGTGTGAGAGCATTTTTGACCTTGTGTGTATGATTTTTAAAACTTTGTAGACATTTAGTAGGCAATTCTTCATGCTAAATATATATATTAAGTTCTGTGTATCATAAATTTCCGCAATAAGATGTATTTTCTTAAATTTGAATGATGTGGGTGAAACATTTGCATACCTTGAATGGAGGAGTAGTGTCCGAGGCTCGTGCACTGAAGTCGAAGGAGAGAATGAGATCGACACCTCGCTGAGGTCGGAGCAGGAGAGGGAATGGCGAGTTGAAAGAGAGGCCGCCGTCCACGACGTACAACTTCTTGATAGATGTTGGATACATCTCAAATATACCATCAAACTGATCTGTTCCTGAATTATACAATTATTCTCAAATAAAAATAAATTAATAATATATTATTGTATGAATAAATTAAAACAAGTTAAAATAAATAAAATTTTTAAAAAACAAAATTTATAAACGGGCAAAATAATTCCCCCCCCCCCTAAAAGTTTTT